GTGTTAGAAAATGTCACCGGTGATGAAAACGCACAAAATCAAACACTTCTTCCAGGCCACCAAACTCCAGTATCAAATTCAATTTTGAGCTACCAGAATACATCGTTTGGAGGCTTGTACAGTAGCTCGGGATTCAATAATTCTTTGGCAAGCTACGAAAGCAATCTTCAGTGGCTATCAGATGGTAGAATTCAAAACCAACATACTCAGCTTTTACCAGACAAAAATGTTACCACATCAACACACACACTTCCTTCGACTTCACATTCTTGCTGTGTTAATAGATTCAGCATGATTGATTCTTTGGGCATGGCCTCCCCAGTGCCTCATGATCAAATGAAGACCGCATGTGATGTTTCTAACTATCAAAATAAATCAGCTCTCACAATGAACATGATGGACCCGATTCAAAGCTGGCTCAACCTCCCTATAGCATCACAGATCCCCAGTAATCAGCAATATTGCAAGTATAGTGAACGATCAGTTCCAATGTCTCAAAATTACAACATACCCATTTCCACAGCCTCTCAATTATCAGCAGCGACACAAATTTGCCTTCCAGGTTTAGGTCTAGATCAATCAGATTTAAAGCAGAGTGATATTTGTATTCAAAGCCCAGATAGTGGTACTTGTTTTGATAGCATTAACAATCCCAATAACAAACCAGTTGAGGGAAATGCAAAACCAAATACTTATATGACGGCAACTAAACAAGGTACAGTGCAGGATGAGAATAATTTAGTTTCTAAACAAAGTTTGTATCCATCGAATAATATGATGACAAAAGACTGGAAATCTCAGTTCCAAAATTATATGTCAAGTCCTAACATGTTCAATACAATGAATGAATCCCAAGATAATTATGTTTTTGCACAGTATAGTATGCAACCAACAAATTCATACTATACCACTCCGGATAATAGTTACTCTTCATTTGTTGGAAAAAACAATACATTTGTACCACAAAAAACTCCCTCATATTCCAGGATTGAAAGCTCATCTTCACAACAAAATTCTTTTGCTAATCAAAGTCAGATCACAAGTGCAACATCTCAGAATATTGTTCACCCCTCCAATAGTGTTGTCAATTCGTTCTACCCTTCAAAACAACTCTTAAAAGAAGGTGAACAGTTACAACCAAATAGTAAACAACAAATTTCAATCACCAACTACAGTGATTCTTTAAACGCTTGTTGCCAGATCAATAACAAATCACAGAGGTCAGATCCTACTTCAGATATAAACAATTGTTTTCCATCAGTTGTCAATAGTCAAGAAGATGTTTCTAGCTCGGGGAACAAACCATCAATACTACTAGGCAGTAATAATCAAACAGAAAAGAGAGGGTTTAAAAGTTCTGAGACTGTTAGTAGCGAGAGTGACGAAAGCAATATTATTGTTGAGGAATCTGATGAAATTGGAGAGATAGAAAGCGAGGTAAGTGTTTTATAATAACTTTAAACCGTAATAAAAGATTAAGCCTAACATGGAAGCAGGACTATTTGTATAAGTCTGAATCATAAGAGTAGCCTACACCTCAGTCCCGCCAATCAGAAAGTCCAGCTAATTGATGCCACCTTATGCGGGGAATAATTTACTGTAGGGGTCATTCCATGCCCATTCATCCAGGTCATGTCACCCATGATCTCAGATTTGGCTGAAATTTTTTTTATTTGTTCATTTGACCATTTTTATAAGATATACCAAGTTTTATAAAATTATCTTGAATAGTTTTTGAGTTATGAATTTTTGAAATTTTGCAAAATACGCTTATAACAGCGCTTCCGAGGCGAAAAGGTTCGGTGACGTTCTTATATAAAAAAATCCATAACTTCTACAATATTTAACATAAAGCAATAGTTTTTTCACCAAAATGTTCAGAGAAATCAGAGGATTATAGAAAAAATACATTTGGTTGGTTATTTCTTCACATTTATATGTAATGTATTGCTAAATTTAAATTTTGAGTTATTTTTTAATTTACAAACAAAAAATCTTTAAAAGCGATTATTGACCAAAGGCATAGCAGTAACCAAAGCAATTTTTTTTTTAAATTAACCCTAAAGATATAAACTAAAGTAATCTGGAATAAAATTAATGGTTTTTTACCAGCTAATATTTTTTTTTATTCATATAAGTTACAATATGGGTTATGGCGAAGAAATCCTATGAAATCGATAACTTGACTTTGCTATCCAAGTTTAAAACCTCTAATATTCATCCAATTGCAAACAACATCTTTTAATTAAATTAATGACTTTTCAATAGTCAATACTTAAAATTTGTGCACTAACCCTTAGATATTAAATGTGAAAACATGTGTTTGAACTGTAACCGGTACCGTATACTAGGCTGTACATAAAATTAAAGCTGCAGTAAATGATAGGCTATACCAATTATGTACTTACAAAGAAATGTATTTATTATTTATACAAGGGCTTATTTGATTAGAACATTTTTGTGATAATCATAAAGGTCTTTAACAGTAGAGGAGTTACCTTAGTTTTGGATATGGGTGCGTGTGAGCCTCAACATTTTCTTACAATTCAAGTCAGCAGCTTGAACTTCCTTTTCAGGAAAATAATACATCCTCCTTGAGCCTTTAGTTGTAGGTGGATTGACACTTGAAATTATGTTGCATAGGCAAGTAAAACAATTTTGCTGGTCCGTATGTAGAAATTTAACTTTAATATCACACTCAATGTCTTTTTTTTCTCATGACTAATCCGAAACACCAATTGTCATCATAAATGCACAATGTAGTCAACCAAGCTATTGTCCTGTTAGATTTCAGCAAAAACAATTCCTATGTAATCTTACTAATATAAATGTGAAAGTTTGTGTCTTTGTTTGTTTGTGTGTTTGAAGTTCAATCACGCATAAACCACTGGACGGATTGGGCTGAAATTTGGTATGATGATAGCTTACATTCCCGATTAACATATAGGCATATTCTTCGCTCAACCAAACTGGAGCGGAGCCCGAAAGGATTTTTGAGGTAAGAATATGCCTATATGTTAATCGGGAATGTAAGCTATCATCATGCCAAATTTCAGCCCAATCCGTCCAGTGGTTTATGCGTGATTGAACTTCAAACACACAAACAAACAAACACAGACACAAACTTTCACATTTATATTAGTAAGATTACATAGGAATTGTTTTTGCTGAAATCTAACAGGACAATAGCTTGGTTGACTACATTGTGCATTTATGATGACAATTGGTGTTTCGGATTAGTCATGAGAAAAAAAAAGACATTGAGTACCTATATTAAAGTTAAATTTCTACATCCCCACGGACCAGCAAAATCATTTTACTGGCCTATGCAACATAATTTCAAGTGTCAATCCACCTACAACTAAAGGTTCAAGGAGGATGTATTATTTTCCTGAAAAGGAAGTTCAAGCTGCTGACTTGCATTGTAAGAAAATGTTGAGGCTCACACGCACCCATATCCAAAACTAAGGTAACTCCTCTACTGTCAAAGGCCTTTATGATTATCACAAAAATGTTCTAATCCAATAAGCCCTTGTATAAATAATAAATACATTTCTTTGTAAGTACAATTGGTATAGCCCATCATTTACTGCAGCTTTAATTTTCTGTACAGCCTAGTATACGGTACCGGTAACAGTTAAAAACACATGTTTTCACAATTAATATCTAAGGGTTAGTGCATACATTTTAAGTATTGACTATTGACAAGTCATTGTAATTTAATTAAAATATGTTGTTTGCAATTGGATGAATATTATAGGTTTTAAACTTGGATAGCAAAGTAAAGTTATCGATTTCATAGGATTTCTTCGCCATAACCCATATTGTAACTTATATGAATAAAAAAAATATTAGCTGGTAAAAAACCATTAATTTTATTCCAGATTACTTTAGTTTATATCTTTAGGGTTAATTAAAAAAAAAATTGCTTTGGTTACTGCTATGCCTTTGGTCAATAATCGCTTTTAAAGATTTTTTGTTTGCAAATTAAAAAATAACTCAAAATTTAAATTTAGCAATGCATTACATATAAATGTGAAGAAATAACTAGCCAAATGTATTTTTTCTATAATCCTCTGATTTTTCTGAACATTTTGGTGAAAAAACTATTGCTTTATGTTAAATATTGTAGAAGTTATGGATTTTTGTATATAAGAACGTCACCGAACCTTTTCACCTCGGAAGCGCCGTTATAAGTGTATTTAGCAAAATTTCAAAAATTCATAACTCAAAAACTATTTAAGATAATTTTTTAAAACTTGGTGTATCTTATTAAAATGGTCAAATGAACAAATAAAAAAAATTTCAGCCAAATCTGAGGTCATGGGTGACATTTTATTTTTTTATTGGATGATTTGAAATGGAATGACCCGTAGGCCTATTTAAATTCTAAACAGAGCTATACCTAACTTATGTTTTGAAATACGGTTTCTAGCTGATCGCGGATTGTAGGCCTATGTGAATGTTGATGATTGGGAAACAGTCTGAATTTTATATGGAACCAGCAGATTTTGAATGATTCCCAATAGACTAGAGCCGAGCACCCATTCATTTAACGTTATTTGGTTGGTTTTATTTTATGATCATTGTTTAGTAAGAATACTGGGATCTAACTATTGCTGCAATCTGGTAGATAATTACGGGGACATTAGGTATCTAATTAATTTAGGATATAATAGTAATAAGAAGATAACCACCCATCTCCTTGATTGCAAGAACATAACGTAGATGTGACTGCCAGAAACAATAACGGTGTTGTGATTGTGAGAGCAATATAGCCTATGGCCATTAACAGTCATAAAAATATGATCATTTGATTTGTGAATGCAACTTTTCTGCATGTCTGGCTAGTCAGAAAAAATTAGGTAGTATTCTAAACAGGGCCCAGTCCCAACTAGTTGGCATAAGAAAGACTCACATGGACTTCAGTTGTCCATTGCATATCCTTTCCAAGAATTGTTTAATATTGTCTAAAATCTATTAACTTTTTTAGGTATCAATCGAAGAAATCAAGAAGAGTTATGAATCCACCAACAATCAAGTACTTTTGAGATGTTTAATATGTAATGTTGGTACTTCTTCACAAACACCTGCTAATCAGTTCATCCACATGAATGAATCCTTTCCTTTAACATCATATAAAATTCCAGTAAGGACAAAATTAGAGCAAATCCTTTCAATGGACTTTCAACATTACTTAGAAAAACGCAACACTTTCATGTGTCGACGCTGCTTAAATCTCGTTGAAACTATTGAAGTCCTCGAAGTTAAACTGTCGACTGCTAAACAAACGCTTAATGACAACTTTTCAAAGACTATCCAACAATCAGTGCCAATTATTGATGATATTTTACACAATGAAGTTAGTTCTCAAGATGTGGACAAACTTTTAAAAAATAACAATATTCCCAACAAACGCCCAGAAGAAAAACCAAAAAATTCAGAAATTTATAGAGAACAGGAACCATTTTCGGTAAGTTTGTCAATCAGCTTATGTAAAACTTGTATCTATTGTTGTTGTATGTTGGGGTTGGCCCAGAACTGGCCATTCGATGAGCGGAAGTAGTAAACAGGTGGGAAATCCCTGGTCTGTTGGGGTTGGTCCAAAACCGGCTTTTCCCTTCTACTCCTCACTTAAATCATTTAATTACCGGTACTTTCCAGCCATTTTTAGCCACCCTGGAAGTATTTTATTGTCTCTTAACCATCCCCAGGCTATATGATATCTGTTTCTTTGGTCAAATTTATTTTAATAATTTGATTCCTGTAATTGAGCAAGCCATATCCCAAGATTTACAGGTACCTTGTCAATCACCATGTATCTCACAGCTTTTAATTTGTCTAGTTTTTACATATATTTTCTTATTTTCAGGTAGAAAATGAATGCCCAAATGAAGATAAAGATCCTTCTATTAGCGATTTGGAACAGTCCGAATTTCAGTGCTCGTATTGTTTCAAGGTGTTATCATCACAGAAGTATTTAAACTACCACCTCCAGCAACATACCAAGGAGTTTTATTATTACTGTGAAAGATGCGGTAAAGGATTTCCTCTAAAGAGCAATCTACAGAGGCATCTCAACTGGCACAATAGTAATGAAAGGGAGGCAGACATTTTGTGTGATATCTGTGGTGATATGTTCGTCTCCAATGACTTGTTCAAATCACACTTACTTAAAACCCATTCTCAAGAGTACATATACAACTGTAAAATCTGCAAGAAAGGATTTACAAGAAAATTATCATTAGAGATTCACATTCATAAGCATACTGGTGCTCGTATGTTCATATGCGAGTATTGCGGCCACACTTTTTTGACCGAATCGAATCTGAGAAACCATGTAAAGCTTTGCAACAAAGATCATCAGCACACGTGTGAAGAATGCGGGAAAAGTTTTATTTCAGAGAGCCAGTTATCAAAGCACGAGTCCCAACATACAGGGATTTACAGTTATTCATGTTCCGTTTGCAACAAAGGCTTTCACAAACCTTCCGATCTCAATTTCCACATGCTGTCTCACTCAACCGATAAGAACTTCAAATGTAAAGAATGTAGCAAATCTTTTAAGACTCAAGGAAATTTAAATTACCATATTAAAACGGTTCACAATAAAGAGACAATTTTCAAATGTGAAATATGCGCTAAAAATTTCTTCCAAAAGAGGTTCCTATCGGACCATATGAAAACACACACCAATGAGGAACCCTACAAGTGTGACCGGTGTGAGAAGACGTTTCTTCACCAGACTACGTTTATCACACATTTGAAGGTGCATGAAGGCAAGGTGAAGTTGAAGACGTGTGAAGTGTGTGGCAAGTCTATCAAGACAAGAATGAGTGTTCACATGAGAACTCACACTGGGGAGAAGCCGTACAAGTGCTCTTACTGTCCCATGGCATTCTCCGTAGGCATCTCACTCAAGAAACACATAGCTGTAAAACATGTCAAAAACAAGGTTTCTTAGCAATGTTTGGGGTTCGTTCGGTTTTTCTTTTTATATTTACTATTGCACTCCAGGCGGAAAAAATTTCTTGTCATGAAGACTTATACTGCAGGAAAAACTGGATGTTTGGAAGACATGATTTAAACTTGAGCTTGTGTCAACTAGAGTAACTTTAGACCCTCAAAATGTAAGGGCTGTTCAGGAAGTAAGGTTCGTTTTAGAATAAAATAAAAATTTTCTACGAGAAAAAATTACATTATTTAGGCCTACATTTGAAAGAGCAACTAAAATAGGCCTAGGTAATACTTTTCCACACATCCGCCAAACAAAATGAGGCAATTATCGAAGCGGTTACCAAGCTTTCGAATTCCTTTTCCTACTACTGCATGGAAATGATCACATTAGCAAACTTTTAAACAGGTTATTTCCTCCTTTATTCTTTCTCGCTCACGTTTGCTAACAAAAATTAACATGCCTGCTTCTGTATTTTAACACCCACATCTGGTAGGCACATAACATAACCTAAAAAAAGCAAAGATGGTCTACAGGCCATTTTATATATAACTAAAAAGTTTGTCTATGTGTAAGTTAATTATAGTGTTGGGAAAAATCTTGTGTGTATTAGGAGCACAGACCTGCATTGTTGATCTCAAAATTGCCGCATTCAGCTAAAGCTTCATGTCTACAGTTCTTGAGCGGCAATGACGTACTTTGCGTTCTTAATAGGCTACACAAATAGTCTATAAGTGTATGATAACAAAAACCGCATTACAGGCAGCACCTTACAACTAGCGTGGTTTTTAATTGCAGCACACTTTAATTTTGCAACATTGGGTAGCAAAATGAGGCTTCCGCGTGACGGCTGGACAGTTTTTGAGTAGGCTAATACGTTTGTACTAAAAAGTGTATGACAACCACGTGCCTTTCGGTGTCAGACGCAAATGTTCCTTACTTTCTGAACAGAACAGCTATATCGTACTATTACAGCTTAGTGGTCACACAGACACATAATAGCCCATCAGTTCCTATTGCCAAACTCTATGAATCAAAACGAAATACAAATAATGATGAATTTGGCATTTTAATTTAAGAGTAAGTTTTTACTGCATGTATAAGTATTATGCATTTAGTTTGATAATTTCTGTTGAACCAAGTGTCACATCGTACCTGAGCCATATCAAGAAATCCTCTATTTTAAGGTTGTCTCGATATTGGCATTTTTATTTTATAAATTATATTTTTTAAATCCTGGACTACTTTGTCATTTACCTTTTACCATGTGATAGTTCTTTTTCTATATTGTATACTTTTTATATAATTTAAATACAAAAAAGTTGTTTATAGGCCTACTGTTCATCCAGATAAAAGTTAGTATATATTTACTCTTTTATTGTTGGGAAGAATTCGATATGCTGAGGTAAGATAGTGTATATACGTTGTTTTGGAGCAAACATACTAAAAAATCAAATGTTAATTGTGACAGAGAACATAATGATTATTGATTATACAATCTTCCCCATCAAAGGTACAATGTAAATAGTTTGAGTTTCATGAAAAAGTCCTATTTTATCAGAGTAAAAGGAAAAAGTAAATATCATGAGGAAAATGAAAGTTTTATTTACAAAACAAATTAATGTATAAAAGATATAATTTCCAGGTGGTACCATTCTTGATTTGGCTCTCCCATTGTTCTAAAAAAAAATAAAGGTAAATTAAACGAGATTATAAGTCATTTCCTATTTGATGCTTTTATGTTGACGACAAAGTCTGCAAACATGTAAGAACATAAAATTATTGATTTAAATATTCGTGCAACGTTTAAGTCTACAGTAAAAATCGTCAGTTGTAGGATAGTGTTGTGAAGAGAACTCAGAAAAAGATTGTCTAAAATTGGCTAGCAAGGAATTCAAAAAATAGAACTCAGCTAGCCTACCTGAGAAAATTAAAGAGTCCAGAGGCTAACAGATACACAATAAAAGAACACAAAACATAACACTGATTTATTGTTTGGATGCAGGACTTGAATCTTCAGAGAGTATCTTGATGAGAAATGTCAGATTAAGTTCAAAATGGAGTGATCTTCAGAGTTGACATTAATGTGGCCACCAAAAAAACTTGACACTAAGATAACATCTATAACAATCTTATTGTTTTTTTTAACATCTTAGAGCCACACTCATTGACTTCTTTAAAAAAATCCTCGTTTACCTTGTAATCTTGTATACACAGACAATACATGCTATGGAGCACGTATGTTATCACTCAGTCTGTATCCATCTCCTCATCTTCTTCACTGTCATCGTCGTCGTCGCTGCAACTCTCCTCCGACTCTGAAGATGAGGCGAGCCACTCTTGAGAAGCAACGTCACATGTAACTAGTGTCCTCCACTCATCTAGCTTGTGCAGATCTGAGGGGAAGATATACAATTTTACAGATAAATTTATACATTTGTTTGATTGACAGGTCGTATAACTAAGTAACCCATATTTTAAGAGAGGGTTTTGTGTTAAATTATTCCACCATCATTTTATTTGTTGGACGTTGGATTTATTCAATGACAAAGTGCACTGATGTAAATTAATTATATGTGTGAATTATTTAACGTAAGATAAATAATACTATTACTGAAATGTAGGTGACACTTCATCTGAACCGTCATCTGAACTGTTTGTTTACAAAAAGGAATATAACAACTATCCCGCTGATTGAATCTTCCAACATAACAGTGAGCATCACAAAATAATAGTACCTCTGTAATAGATCCCTGTGAATACAATTATATTTTTGTAACGTCGATCGAACTGTTAGAGCGAGTGAGTGAAATAACTTTAAGTGTCTTCTTATTAACAGCGATCCAGCTTAAATGTCCTTGACGAAGAAGTAATAAGTGGCAAAAATAATAATATTACCATTACATTATTTCACCAATATTAATGAAAAGCTAAGGAATCTGACTGTTCAACTGACAAATATTGTTAAACAAATATTGAAATATTGTAATGGGAAATTCGCTAAAAACTTAAAAATTACTGTTACTTGAAAAACAATACTCTTACCTAAAGCATGAAGGTCACTGAGGGTGAAAGTTCGCTCTCCCTGTTCAAACAGTCCTCCGTACATATACAGGGTGCCATGTTTGACTGCCAGACCACAGTTCATCCGAGGTCGAGGGTGTGTCGGGGTGGCACCACTGTTTTCTGCAACAGCTGATGTGTTGGCATCACTGGAGGTCAAGGCTGGACCTACTGTCATAGTGAACACTCCGTCGTCTGACACCTTCTGCACTTCTGGTGTTTCCTATCCGAGGATAAGACACATTCAAGCTTTTGGTAAGTTTTAGGCCACACATTTTAGGGGTAGTTGTAGAGCGTGGTGCTTGTGTCCACGAGTTCCCTGGTTCAAATACAACCAATCACCAATGGCTGTTATCTACGTGATAATGCTGCAGCGCTAGCATTATGAATAGTTTATTGTTGTAACTGCAAAATGGACACAAGTGCAGACAGCTGAAAACTTATAACTGATTCTATTTTTGGAAACAATACAGCGCAGGTGGTCAGCAGGCGTCGCAACTCCCATGGCAACAGCCAAAACCCCTCCACACCACCACTGTTGTTACTGAGTGTTACGGTCATTTCCAATTTGTTAAATCTTTAAATATTTTAGCCTCTCAACATGGGAAACAAAATTACAACTTAAATATTTTTAAACAGGAAAATTAATTTATTCTTTTACTTGTTTTGTACTGAATTTTACAGTTTTCATTAACTTTTTGGTTAAATTTTGACTTTTGAGAGTTAGATCATTCCTGACTACGGCCGGAACTCAATACTTTTTCACGACCTTTGTATATCCCCGACTTTCCTAGGATTCCCGACTGGTACCCTTCTTAAATTTAAGGACATGCAGTTTTTATTTACTTCATGGATGATTACTGTATTTATATTGGTACTTGGGTTTGGGTATTATAGGGAGGCCACATATTTTACAGCGTGCTGTTATGTTAGGTTGGGTTATAGGACTTTCCTTTTTTCGTTATGAAATGAACAATACCAGATGAGTCATACTTTCTATATATGATAGAACCTAACCAAACCACCACAGCACGCTGTATAAGGGTGGCCTCCGTGTAATACCAAAGTACCTTTATATTTTATATAAACATAAAGGCGAAACTTACAACTGGTTTATCTTCAATTTCCATTTCTCCTTCAGAACCATCCTCGTCTCCTTCTTCCTCTTTGTCGTTTTCTTTTCTCCGCCTTCTCTTTGGTTTGGAGCCTTCTTTCTTACCAGACAAGGCCACTAGAAATTTTTTTAGCAAAAAATGTTACTTTACCACGGGATTAGCTTATATTATAATCCACTAAAAGTGGTCACATTAGTTTAAAACTGTCTCTAAATCACAACTCAAATATACTGTAAAAATAGTAGGTAGGGACTACAAAATTATATTATTGTTCGGTATTTAGCCTCTACATCATTAACCACAAAACAATATAGTTGATGAAAAAATCTTGGTATCCTATAAACTAGGAACATGAAACCATTACTTTACCTGTCCTGAAGACAAGTTTCTCCAAGTCTAGACAGTGTAGATCATTGTAGAATTCACTATCGATGTCGTCGTCTTCATCGTTTTCAACGTCAAACACACCTCCGAACGTGTAAGCTTTACTGCCTGGTGCTCCAGTTAGGGCTACTCCACAACGAGGGGAGTACTTCGCTCCACCAAGCTTCACTTGACTCCATTTCCACTTCTGTCCAGTCGAGTCATGTTCTGGAAACACAATAGGGTGAGTATAGAAAATATAAGTTAGAACTACAGTAGGATCCCTCACAAACAAAGTAAGGGGGGAAGTCGTTTCATAAACCTGAAAATTTCAAATGAAAGAGAGGGCTGTTTTTTAGCATTTTAAGTGATAAAAATAATATAATAACTTAACTGAATGACATGTTAAGGTTACACAATACTTAAATAAAAGGCTAAGGTCTAATTTACCAAAACAAGTATCGGTAAATTAGATCGGCATGTACATGTAGATCATTTTTACATTTCATTTCAACACAATAAACACAGTTTCTAGCAAATAAATCATGCCATCGCTTTCAAATTCCGATGTTATTCTTATGTAGGATAAGTAAACTGTTGTAGTTTGCTTGTTTATGAACATATTTTGATCAAATTTGGAAAATTAATTTATTTCATAAAAAACTATTAACACAAAAAAAACTTTTTTACCCTCCCCATTACAGCAAACCTAAGTAACTAATGTTTTTTAAATACGAAATACATGTGATATTTTTAAGGAGACATATTAAATGTAAATCCAATTAGGCAAATAGAAATTCGCATAGTCTGCAGGTTTGCTGTGGCGGGGGTATTTAAATACCTACACTGAACAACGTTGCCACTTCCAAGTGACAACAGTTTCAGGAAACACGAAATGTTGTATAATGAGGCTTAAGGTCATAATAATAATATTCCAAACCGCATAATTAGGCTAACTTAAAAACACTCTTTCATGAACAATCCATTTATCATAATCATAAAAATTATAAATCTTTATTGGTCATTAAATAAGAAAGTTACAATAGACCTAGTCAACAATGAAAATGGCGTCAAAAAGGGCCTTAGATTACTAAATAGTATCAAGTATATGTTGTATGTTTATACCAAACTATATTTACTTCATTCGATATATTTACATTAACACGTTGTATTCGGCCAATCCCGATTGGGTACAGTGTTCGGGTGCCCGTAGAGTGTGTGCGTACCCGATCGGGAACGCTCGGCAATGCCTTTCCTATATCTTTGTTTTTTCTCTAGCATCAGTAGAAGGCAGACCTATACCACGTTAGCGTATAGTGTGTGACTTGATTTTTCTTGTGGTGTAGGTTGGTAGTAAATTTCCCAGTAAAATTCCTGTCTGGCAAGTTTAAAAATCAACTTGTCCCGTCTTTCTCCCTACAATTGGCAATACAATGGGGCCGGCTTCGTTCCAAGCAGTGCTGCTATGTGTGAGTGTTCAAGGGAATTACGTAGATTCTCATAAAGCAGGACATCACTGCACGTTATTTGCTATTAGTCAGCCCGAAATTTTAAAGTTAATCACCCGGCAATCAGGTTTGTTCGACGCTGCGGGCTGCGCAGCACTGGGGCTAGGCCTGCCATTTGATGGGCCGCAGCGAACGTGTTAAAAGAATACAACCCTTTTATCACATTTCATAAACATCTACTACATAGTTGAATTCTTATGATATACGATGATATACGATGATATGATACACTACCATAACTGATTATTTTGCAGAAAGCAAAGCGTACTCACTGTCAGGTCCCAATAAGAAGGCATCCATGTGAATTGTTCCTTTATCTTCAACTTTCTTAACTCTCACTTTGCTGTAGCCTCCAAAGACTAGGATTTTGCCATCAGGAGTCGCCACCATTTGACAAGCAGATCTTGGCGCAGGAGGTGTGCCTAATAACATTTTGTAAGTTTAAGAGATTTTTCCATAGCTTTAAATAAAGAAAGAAAATATAATTGAGTGGAGTGAAGCAAAGCTCTTTAGGATTGGCTTCAATGGAATCTTTCTAACACTATCACACAATAACAGCTGAACATATTTTAGCCAAACTTACCAAGGTTGTTTGACAAATGTTTGGAAGGTTTAAGAAGAAACAATTTCAAATTTTGATAATGCCTATATAATTTAAAAGTAACTCAAAGTTTTTAAATTTTAACATTGGCTTTTAGTGGTTGCCATGATGGCTACAAAATAGCAACGTAAATGTAAAAAAAAACAAAGAATCATAGCATATGGTTAAAATCTTGCCAATATACGACCTAAACACAGTACAAAGGATAAACATTCGGATGATGACCACTGATCAAATAATACAGAGAAAGTAAGTATTACATGCCTTTTAGAAACTACCACTGATCGAATAGGTAGCCTACAGTATTTTACAGATTTTATTTATGGTTACATGTCTCTCTCGATGGCACAAGAGATATAACATCAGACATAAGATCGACATAATATTGGAGAGAAAACAGTCTTAACTGGTGATGTTATTGCTTTTTGTTACTGTATTTTTTTACAACCGAATGAGAAGTCTACTAACACTATCCTAAGCCTCAACTGAACCTCATTTAAGTTCTATTTTATTGACAAAAACCTTATATGTATTAGCTGTAAGACTTGGTTTAGTTATAAAACTAGAAAAGAGATAAAAGAACATACCAACAGGTTCTATTTTCGTCCATGTACGTGTCTCCAAGTTGAGACTGTAGACATCGTTGAAGTACTTGTATTCCCTGAGGTTGTCATGGAAACCGCCAAACACAAACAGCTGTTTCTTGACACAGATCATACGATGACCACTTCGAGAAGAAGGAGCACCAGGCGCACTGAAATATTCTTAAGTTTATACCAATTTATATAAATTTAAAAATGATCGATAAAGAGAATAACATTTCTTGTGTCTAGATTTTAATTTTACTTAGGCATTTAAAGATGTAGGCATAGGCCTATAATTAATTAACTAATAAAAAAAAGGTGAATTTAAAACAATGAGGTAGACAGTTCTGATATTTCTTGTGCAAACCTTATAACTTACTTTTACTCAAATGGCATTCCTGCTTAAGTGTATTTTTTAAATTTAATGAGAGTTGGCCTACAAGACTGGTGCGTAAGAGATAATTTTACCAATCATTGGATAAGGGTTAACTAGTCTCTAAACTCTGTAAAAAGTAAACAAAAATTCTAAATTGTATAGACTTTCCAGCTATTCCAAGCAAGTTTCCAAACACAATTTATGTGGGTTGAAACATAAGTCATAGGCAAATCACTAAAAATCAGCTAAAGAAGCAGCCTAAAAAGAAAGTTTTTTGGGTACCTCCGTATTATACAGAGGCCACTTATTTTACAGCGCCTCCTACAAAATATTTTTGTAGGACTTTTCTCGTTTTGTTATGAATTTAACGATACCAGATGAGTCATAAAAAATGTATGATAACCCATCCTAACATAAACGCCACGCAGCGCGCTGTATAAAGGTGGCCTCCGTATAATACAAAAATAAATTTTTTTTTTAAGAAAGTTTTTTGTAAAGTAAAAAATAAAAATCCATAACCAACCCTACACTCACTTGACCTGCTCCCAGAGATGAGTGGCGAAGTGGAACACCCAGAGATCACGGTAGTGGTAGAACTGTGATTGTGTAGGACTGGCGAACTCTCCGCCGTACACCCACAACTGTCCTCCACCAATAGGCAGAGCCACTGCTTGGTGTGAACATCGTGGCGGGGGGCCAGCCGGGGCCTTCAGCATCGTCCAATCTCCTCGGTTGATATTGTATATAAACATCTCGTTGTACAAGAAAGTCTGAAACAATACAAACTATTGGCTGACTGCATATTATTTCCTTGGTAAATTTTCAACTCTAAACCCAGTGTCATGTAGCCGAACGTCCGTTATACATATATCCATTCAGGACTAGGTACTTAATACAATCTTTTCTCTGTTTTCTCCTACATTGCTTCACTAGCTGTCCTATTTCATCAATATTTACGATTTAGGTGTTATTAATTTTCAAGCTTGTGATTAGTGGAACGATGAATTGTAATTCTAAAAAGGTAATTTCCTTTAGGGCCTTGCCCCTCTTGCGTGTATTTCTAGCGCTTGCTTTCACAAGATTCAGTGATGCTGTCGTACTTTTTTTATAACTTTCTTTTTCAAATGTGAATTGTATTTTAACACGGCTGATCGTTCAGCTGAATGTTTAACCACATTCAGAATGTAAACAAGAGATAAAACAGTTAATGAAATAGTTATTTGTGTAACTAGTGTGCCAAGTAGCACTTAGCTGCAGATGAGAGAAATGTTTACACACAAGCAGCAGGCGAGTGAGGAAAGTTTCTCAAGTACAGCAAAGGCAATTTACACTTGTGTTTCACATTATATTTTTCCTACAAACACTAAACAACACGTTTTAGGTTAGGTTAAATCCAAGTGTTCAACGAAATGGGAAACACTGCAACGGCTGATTAATCTTAGTATCTTTAAGTTTTGCCAACCTATTACCAAGCATACACGGATTATTATACAGGGAGCATAATAAAAGCACGCTGTATTGTGTTGTTTGGTTAGAATATTGGTGTGCGACAAAAAAAGGAGTGCATCAAAAGTAAGTAAAAGCAGCAATTAGCAACTTTCTATACCGGTACTATGATCAGTGCTAGAAAGCCCACTTTGTCAGGTGACTGTAGGAAAATGGATTTGAACAGGCTACTTTTTGATAATTGTAACGTGATCGAGGTAGGTATATTATCTAGTGGAGCTTAACCGCTACAACTCTTCATCATGTAGATATTAAATTAAAACATTAAATGTAAGTTATTGTAAAGTAGTACTGTGGCTTTATTTACCTTACAACAGCAAACCAGGTAGCCTAACTTAATCTTTGGAAAGTTTTTGAACACAATTAAAATGAGCAATTCACGCATGGGATCTCACTTTCATTTTGTAGAACATATTTAAAATATATAATAAAAAGATATAATTGCTGCTACCTTTTTCCTGTTTGGAGCATCACGTGTGTTTTTTTACTAATACATTGAATCATGTGATTTTTTAAGTAGGCTACACAATGACCGATGGGACATCCTTTTAGCGACAACTCAGTTAAAGATCATTGGTTACGTTAATGTATCAGATCTGGTAGGCCTACTCGAGATTCTTCAATGTACACTGAGTACCCGGTTGAATTCTTACCAATTTAAAACAGTGCTCGTGTATTCATCAGACACACAAGTAATTTCTACTAAGTTCACTATGTTAACTTAGAGAGAAGGTTGTTTGGAAACTGTTTACAACGCTTACCTTTTGACCATTGAAATATTCCCCACCAAACAATATGAGTTCATCTTTTTCAGGGTGTGCAGTAAATGAAAAATTTGATCTACAAGAAGGAGATGAGACTGATTTTATGACAACTTCTTTTTGTTTCCGTTCTTCTTCATTAATTTGAGCAATAATTTTATCTATCTCGTCCTGTAACAGAAAGAAGTGCCAATGCAATACAGATTATTACTAAGCCTAAACATAATATATAGCCTTGGCTTAGTCACATGCTTTAGGCCTATCAAAACAAGAAAATAAGTTGTTTAACTTAAAACGTTCATTTACACTAGGTGACCGGTGTTTAATTGGACAAGTAACTTAGATGATCATACTCTACATAATAATACTATGACCTCAGTGGTCCTAATAGATGTCACAATGGAGTTTTTTGACACTGTGGATGCGATAAGCTTACTCCCTGGTGTGGATTAACTACCGCACTAGTGAGTACTACGATGATCCGCAGACCTATTCATGATTATTAGACTAATTCGTTAATTACAAGGCAAAGATTTCATTTCGGGGGGGGGGGGGGGGGGAATGACCACCGGGTGATCTGGGGGGTTTATTTTTATATGTATTTGAGCTCTAAAATATGCTCAAGCTAATAGTATTTATGTTAGCTAATAAAATATAAAATATTTTGGGGGTGGTGCATCCCTCCCATTCCCCCCCTGGGACTGCCACTGGTCCCTTAGTTGCCAATAGGTGTTCGGAGTATTAATTAACAGCTGTTGTCTAAGGATCATGTCGGTCTGAGTCACTAACAAGACTACAAAGTTGGTGCCACTCATCCTGCACTCATCTCCATTCATACTTGGTTTGAAATACCTACATTCGTATGGTCACCATTTCAGATTAAAATATTTCCTCCAAGGGGATTTAGGTTGGTAGTTATATACGGTAGTAAAATATGTGTTATTGCCGGCCGGCAGTTTCAAAAGTAACCGTATCTCACGCGCCTCTTTCTGGGAACCGATTGAACATTATTTCGCTCACCAACCCCCCTGGCTGCAGTTAAACTATCCTAGTATATTTATCTAAATAAATATATAGCCTATATACTTATGCTAATTATTGTATAATTATATTTATATAATTATTATACTTCATGGAAATTCTTGCGATGAGGGTGACCAAGAGTATTATAGTAATTTATATATCATTAAAAACTAGATTTTTACCTGAAAACAATGGTGCAAAAATTGTTCTGCTGTCACAAAAAACTGAATTAACTACCGGTACGATTTTTTAAAGTTTATCACTTCAGTTCGATCGATATATTGATTATTTGATATATTGTTTGGTTAGTTAGGTAAGGTTAACCTAACCTTACCTAATTAACCAAATGATATATTGATCGAATAATTGATATTTTCATTCAGTTGTTTGTGCCAACAGATATGGAAGTCTAAGTTACCCTAAATAATGTATTTTTAAGTACCGAAACAGGCTTACTTCTCCTTTTACTGCTAATTCTTTCTTCATCTTTTGAGAGAGCTTTTTATCAGTTTTTGCTGCAGTTTTTTCGGCACCTTTACCCTTTTTCTTGTCTTTCTTTCCCATAGCAACAACACTTAAAAAGCTTGTAAGAAAAATAACAATATGAGTTACTAAGCTCAACTATGAATTGAAATAATCTGCAATATATCGCAATTTACAACAATCATCAATACATTAACAACATAACCAAGTAAGTATAGTAGGCCTTAAATAAAACCAAGAAAACATTAAACTAAAACCAACGTGTTTGCCAACCAAACCTAACCTCAACCTCAACTTGTCTTGATAAACAAACACAAACACCTGGACCTGACTGAGGCACTGAGCTGAGAATTGAGAAATGAATAATGAATGCAATGAAGATTTTGAAGATTGAAGCAGAAGTACAAGTAGTACCAACCATACCAATGAATACTGGGTCACTTCACCACTGAGCTATAATACTTCACTAACACTTCGATTGGCAGGACTGTGAGTGAATTCCTAACATTGTTTTCTGCTGGGATAACCATCGAGGTAGACTTCTGGAGTGATCGCGCCCGTGTTGAAGCGAACCGTTTTTCGGTCCGGCCGCGAGTAGCTGTGAGCAGCCCGTGGTAGGCAAGAACGCCAGCGCTAAGATGGGCGGGATAGGGAAAATCGCGACGCGCGCCTACTTTTATTTTGTTTCCTGGGGATAACGGAAATTCTAGAAGTAGAAGAGTTGAGGTTGAATTGTGAGTATGTTTTATCTATGGTAATAGTATCAAAGATAAAACTGGTTAGTCTATGACCTATGGTTAGTTGAATGATAACTAGGTGCGCCCACAAAATTGAATGGAGTGGAGTTAAAGGTGGTCGTGGGCATAGATAATTAATTTAACTAACTCCCTGGTATCATTGACAAAGTCAATGCTGGTATTAGTTGCCACATAGATAAAACCATAAAACTATGTGATCTGGCCGGGATTGCGGGATCAACTCCCACCAAATCACCAATGGATTTTATCTAAGTGATATTGCCGCAAACCCTAGGTATAGCCTGAAGTAATTGATGTGAAAAATATCCCAGGCTCGTGCTTAGCGTCTCGATAAAAACATTACCATGCAGCTTGTTTGCATTGTAATTTTCCAGCATCCCAGCAGAAAACGTAATTGATGGCTGCAGTCATACCAACCAGTCAGTGAGTCAGTATTTTTACCAAACGCCATGGAATGAAGAGAATGGCCGCGAAGGGAGGGGAGAAAGATAGGGAGGCCTTCTTTTAGGCAACCTTTCACCTAGGTACCATTTCACTTAAATCACATATCAAGTTGGTACCGACAACTCAACTCGGTCAGCTAGGTCCCGGCCCCTCCCTTCTGGGGGAAGGGCGTGGCTTCGCCGTGGTCACGTGTTTCGCGGTGCGGTCGCTTACCCTCTACACTTCTGAAAATTCCCGCGACTTCTTTGAATTACCTCTACTCCACCCAAATTTCAGCCTTCCTTCGTCTCGTTTCTTGTTCTGTTCTGCGTTTCTTCTTCTTCTTCTCTTCTAGATCTGCTGCTGCTGCTGCTGCTCTAGCTCGAGTTTGAGGTTGGATTTTGATTTTGGAGAATTTATTGTTTGTCAATTTCAATTGTCATACAAATTTGTATTTTAGGTGTGTATTTTCAATTTAGGCCTAAGTTACAACTACTACAGTTTAAAGAACCATTTTTGTCATCACAAAATGGGTGGAATGAGGTGGATATTGGGGTGATAGGACTGGAGTGATAGTGATAGTGATTCAGGAGTTGAGATTTTGGATTTTGGTGAGTTTTTTTAATTTTAAACCCATATGGAAGTGTATCATAATTGCTACCATGTTTCCTCTTTGGTCCCGTAATTTTAAACTGTTTGACCTCACTGATTGTAACTATATTCATATCCTTTGTTCGTCTGATTCTATTTTCCTCAATGTCCATTGTTCAAGTGTACCCAAATTAGGACTAAATACGAGGGCTACTCTTCCTTTCATGTTGAAGTGCCAGAACCACAATAATGATAGTCACAATAAGTGCCCATAGTCTGTGGGGACTTTAACATTGAAATGGCCAAGATGGAGGAACAAATCTCAATTAATTTCACGAACCTACTACGATCACTTGACCTAAAATGTAGTAATAAATTCCCTACAAGAAACGATGCCTGTTTAGATAATATAAACTTATTAGTCAATTTTTCTCAAGATTTTTACAAAGTTTCAATTTTGCAAGGCGCTTTGGCCGATCATGATCCACTGCTTTTTAAATACCATAGACCTGCCTGCAAAAGCTCACAAAATGTAGGCCTATCTATTGAGCAGCCTAGTGTTCTTGTTAGGAAACAAAATAAACAAAATCTCAATCTTTTCCGTGAGGTACTGCAGAGCGAGTCATGGGAAGACATTACAGAAAATGAGAGTAGCCCAGTAACATTGTTTGATAGTTTTTTTGATAGGTTTGTTAACCTCTGGTACTATTGTTCTCCACCTGTTAAGAAAAAGCTTAGATCAGATAATAAGACTAATCTAGTGAAAAATAAAATCACCTATTATAGTGATAGTTTTAAAAAAAAGTAAGGAAAATTGATTCTGTAAAGGCTCAGGCAGCTTATAATATCTACAATAGCTTAAAAAAACAGTACAGGAAGGATTTAAACCTTGCTAAAAAATTAGCCTGTGCAAAATACATTAACAATTCAAAGAACAAATGCAAGGCCGCCTGGGACATAATAACACAGGAAAATACAACCACACGCACATCTCATGTTACTCTTGACCCTAACAAATTAAACACATACCTACTTTACAGATTCAGTTGAGGAACTGGCCAATCAAGTGGGCCAGACTCAAGACACACCAAGAGAACTACTGGAATCTACACAAAAATTGGGCGTCTCTAAATTTGAATGGATACCTATTACACCAAATGAGGTAATAAAAACAGTCTCAAAATTTTCAAATTCTAAATCTATGGATCACTTTTGGCTTTCAAACTACATAATCAAGAATATTATACACTACATATCTACACCCCTCTCCACCGTATTTAATAGTTGTCTCCGTAATGGCTATTTTCTTGACCAACTTAAAGTCTCAAAAGTAACTCCAATTTATAAAAAGGGTGACAAGAATCTATGTCAAAACTATCGCCCAATCTCGATAGTACCAATCTTATCTAAGGTTTTCGAAGCTCTCATGTTAAAACAGTTAAATAACTTTTTTGACTCTAATAACTTGATGACTGATTCTCAATTTGGGTTTAGAGCTGGCAGATCAACTATGATGGCAGTCTCTCACATTTCCAATTATATTATTAATGCTTTTGAAAATAAAAATACTGTTTCCATGCTACTTTTTGATTTAACAAAAGCTTTTGACTGCATCCCGTTTGACATCTTGCTGGCTAAACTCAAATTCTATGGACTTAGCAAAAACACAATAGAAATGCTTGAATCATATCTGACTAATAGGAAGCAATATGTTAGTGTGGAGGGTAAACACTCAACATTGACCACAATTAAAGCAGGAGTTCCACAGGGCTCGGTCCTAGGCCCTTTCCTTTTTATAATCGCAGTAAATGATCTTCCATGTAACACTCCTGTCGAATGTGTAATTTACGCAGAACAATTTTAAAAAATTACAATAGCGCTTTCGTTCTAATAGGAGTGTTTTAAACTGGTTTTCTGCAAATAAACTGATCTGTAATCAATCCAAGACCCAGAAAATTGATTTCTCACTCTCTATTAAACAATCAGACCACTCAGTAAAAATTCTTGGCTTCCACCTCAATAGTAAATTAAACTGGAAAACTCACATCACAAATTTGAGCAAAAACTATCGAGAGTTTCATGTTTATTCTGGAAACTCAAGCCTTTTGTCGATATTGAATATCTCAAACTAGCCTATTTTGGGCTGTTTCAATCAATATGGAATCCAACTTTGGGGCCATTCCCCCCTTGTCCATGAGCTTCTACTAATACAAAAAGAAGTCATTTGCACAATGTTAGGGGCTGACCCTGCGGAGCACTGCAAACCACTTCATTTGAGTTTTTAGCATTTTATAACATAGCCTATACGTATTTGATACTCTCAGCAGCTGGAGTAGTGTGATTTTTTCTTTGATTATTGTGGCTTCACGTGACAGGTGGAGGTGGATGGCTATAACTTACAAGGTTACATGGTACACATTAAATTCATAATGATTTGCCTATTTCGGTAGACTGGCTTTTTCGTAGGCCTAAGCTTCATTGCTCTTTACAATTTCAAGAGATCTATTGTTCAAGGCGTCAATGGGCAACTAACCTAAGTTTATCGCCATTCTACCGCATTATAACCCACCCTACAGGGCCCGGATTTTGTAGGTAGCAAATGCGCAACTAACCTACCGCTAGGGCAACGGCCATCAAAACATTTTTATGTGTGATAATAAACCTTGTAGGTTAGTCTAAACTTAGTTGATACTACTAACAAAATAACTTAGCTATCTTAAAGACATCAAGTAATTAAGTAGGCCCATTTTATTGGTCGTTTAATAATCACTGATCACTATAGACTTCGTCTGAGACACATTAACTCACGGTATATAGGCTACTTGATCAATAGCGATATAGGCCTATTATCACAGTCACATTTTTATGCATAGCTTATCAAATAAATAGGCTCTATCACAGACGTTAAAATAAATAATAAGTATAGTTGTGCAGTTAAATAGATCAGGGGTAATAGTACTTGTTGTAATATGTAGTTATACTTCACCAAATCCATTTCAATGCATCAAGCAAAAGAGCTGTAACCCCATGATTAGCCTGGGCTAGTCTAATAATATTTTAAGACATTTTTATTTTATGATATTAAAAACATTAGGCTACACTAAGCTAATGAAATCTTCCCATAAACTTAGCCTACTCGGCTTTTAATTTTTGCATCGATTTTGACTGCCCTACCCGTCAATGAGGTTATGGGTATAAGTTAGGCCTAACCTATACAAAATCCTGCCTTAATCTGAATGGGAAAACATTATTATTTGCAGATGATACAACGATGCTGTCCAGAACCTTTAGTATTATTACAGTTGTTCGGCATTTGGATCATTGCCGGCCAATCTTAAAGGATCTTAAGCTACGTTTCCATTCCTGCAAATTTGTGCCGGCACAAATCTCCAAATTTGTAGGAATGGAAACATCCTGGCTCAAGTCACGGCGCAAATCTCTCATCAATTGATTAAATGCACCTTCCAATGCTCTTTTAGCCAAAAAACTTCTTATCCTCTATCTAGGTAGTTTTCTTCTAAGTTCATTGTATGCACCAGCCATAAATAAAAAATCAGAGGCTGTTATGTCATCCATGGTGATTTGTAGAACACAATATAATCAAAATCATCCACCGAACCTCACCACATCACAATAAAAGAGAACACTGCCTTGTCTGCCAGTTGAAGTGGCGGGACTTGTGCCTGGAATGGAAACGGCATGACAAACTACGTGCGACATGTGCCTCAACTTGTGCCTGCGACTTGTAGGAATGGAAATGTAGCTTAAGGGTACTCACGGCGTAGTGCTTGATATCCTGACCCTAGAAAAGATTACGTGCAGGCAGTGGTGGATCTAGAACAGTCACAAGGGTGGGGGGACCAGGGTGTCTGAGAGGTTCGGGGGTACCCCCTCCCTCCCCAAAAATTTGTTTAAACTAAGTCTTCAAAAATGGCAGTTTTATACCATTTCTTTGTCCTAAGTTAGTGTGACAAATTATTTTACGCAATTTGTATGCACTACTGTATTACATGCAGTCAAAAATATATGACATACCTATATTTCCAAACTGCGACTGCCCCCCCCCTCTGGATCCGCCACTGGGGTGCAGGAGTACTATACCAGAAGAGCACAAAATATAGACTTTTCCTGCTGTCGTCTCAAACTTACCTAGAATAGCTATCCTCGTTCTACTATTAACTGCAACTCATAACTGCCTACTCATTTGCAGGAGATGGATGCACCCTCCTTCAGAAGGCGCTGAAAGGAATACTAATTATAGGCCGCTGTACTCCGTAAAAGAACTTAAGGAAGAGCACCTAGTGAGATAAGTGTGTGTCTGCCATATCATCCGTTAAACAGCCAGGTTTTTGAAGGTATAGTTTATTGTAAATATTATATATAGAGTTATTTATTAAATCACTTAATAATTTACTAGCTTCTGTGCCCGTGCTTCGCAACGGGAAGATGAACTATACCGCCTAATCCAAACAGTTGTTAAGTAGTCCGAATTTATGAACAAAAGCCACCAAATGTTGGCCTACTGTATAAAAACAATTATGACCAACATTGTAATTGCCCTACTGTTTACGTTAAAATATATCAATAACATAATATTCATTTTCATATTTGAGTTGTTTTGTCTCAAGATCAATGAACCAACTATAAAAGGTATAAAATTACCTCAGTACTGCCAGATTGATCCTGTTTAGTCCTTATGGATTACGGGTTTTAAGGACTTAAGTCCTCATCATGAGATCTTTTACAAGAACATTTAACACTGTAACTTCGAAAGGGTCATCAAGAGTTTAAATGCGAAACACGGACATATACTATTTACAGTCATAGACGTTTTATGAATAAAACGAGTAGGCTTACTGACAAAAACTTACAATGTCCAACCCCAACCTCGTGCGCACAGTTGCAGATGAGGGTCATGACTGCGATGCGGAAGATGGTTGGGCGGTGGACTTTGTACAGCTCGGCTCCTTGTTCATCAGCTGTTCTTGTTTTTTTATTAGAGTATCATACAGAGCGTTAGACTGTAAACTGATTTTGTCGCTTAATAATGTGTTAGCTTGAATTTTGATTGTTTTATAAATTTCAAATTCTTCTATAGCATCCATTCCTGTATATTGCTTTAAAATTCAAAATAAACTACGCCATGGCTCGGTCCCCAGGTACTTATTTCAATTCAGGAAATTAAAGCCTTTACAACTATTATTCAACAAAAACTTCTTTGCACTAACTTGATCAGGGAAATATAGGCCTAGACAAAATATAAAAGGTTTAATTTACCTGTTGCTGATCCTGTTAAAACTGTTAACAGGGGCAGGCCAAGACCATAAAGCACTTCATCCAAAAATAAAATTATTGCGCACCCCATACAGTTGTTTTCTTGAAGTTACAAGTTCAGGCGTCCGATAAAAGCCTGTAGCTTCCCAATTAGATCCTCCTCAGGAAGATATCTATTTCTTGCCACATTAACAAGAGTTATTCTTCTAGCAAGAAGAATAACTCTTGGTAATGTGGCAAGAGGTTAACATGTGTCTTTAACAAGCAATGAAAGCCCCTCAAAGATCGAGTTTGTGTCGCACGTTTGTAGGCGGAATAAACCAGTTAAAAACTTTTAGTTAAGGGTACCTATGGTAATTTATTGTAAAATAAGACCTTTTTATTTGAAACTACCAACTACACCAACCCGCATAATTTGGTACCCTTGAGTATTTTAAAATTGTGACTTTCTTTACCAAGATTAAAATGTTTGTTTCAGGAAGAAAGATGTAGCCCCAGCTCTGGACAAAAATATTATGGAGAAGGTTGGCCGCTGTACAGGGCAGCTATAGTTATTATTATATGTTGCCTTTTATTGTTATGTACTGTTTTTATACTTTACCAATAAACCTTATATTTAATCTAGAGCAGTTAATTTTGTTAAAATTCTTACCAGTAAACTTCTCTGTAATTTGTAAAGAAAACATGTAAAAATGATTATATAGTTTATTTTGATCTTCTAACTATTTTGACAGTTTTATAGATAAAATATTCTTCTTTTTAGATATATTTTTTGATTGTTCTTGTTCGTACAGGTCTCAGATAACTATACATAAAGATAAAATGATATTTATATTTATATTATATATGCGAGTGCCAATCTTAAGAAGCAAAGTTAATATATAGCTAGTAAAATAAAATAATGTTGGTGTTTAATGACTAATGAGTGTACTGTAAAAATGAAATAAGTAATTCAAAAGTTGAAACAAAAACTCTATTTAGCCAACCCAATAAAATCACTCAAGAATTTTCCTCTGAATAAATGTTTGAACTTCATAGTCTAGAGGTGTTAGGTTAATGTCTAGAGGTGTTAGGTTAATGAGACATAAGACTGCTTAAGGGTGTTGCTCAACGTGTAATGAACAAAATTAAATTAAGAAAAACAACAAAAGTAAAGAAAAAGAAAACTTTGAAAAGGCAAAGATCAACAATAATAAGATAAATAAATTTACAACGTTATAATTTACAAGAAAAGAAAATCAATTAAAAATTTAAAAGAATGAGTTACTGACAAACTATATGACTTGTTTGTTTTACAAAACTTTAGTTATATATTTTATTCTTTTTACATACTGTTTATTGTCCCAGAAGCACACGCACCGATACACACACTCCGAAACTCTCGATCTTCTTGGTCCAGTGGCCCGTGGTGAACTCCTCGATTTGTTTCTTCTGGTACTCCAGCTCCGAGACTCCTCACCCCTCCATTTTCTTCATTAACCCTTCTCATTGGCTGATTGGGTGTTTGACTTATAGGTTAACGATGTTTCTTGGAAGTCAGCCCTACCGGTACCCTATCGCCTAGCTCACGTCAGCTGGGAAAGGAATTTGTAAATCGATACTCATGCTACTGTTCAACTCTCTTCACACCAACTGGTCGACTATAGTCCTCGCCACCCTAAGTTGAGGCAGCCAAAGGCCGCACTAGGTATATGCCGTGCAGCCTTGGGCTGCCTCAACTTAGGGTGGCGAGGACTAAGTGTAATGTAAACAGAGTATCTGCTTAGATGAGCACCGTGGGTACAGGGTTAATCCCCTTTCTTACAATGTAAATCTATGTTGTAAACTTCTTGACATACGAGAACTACTTTAGGGACAATTTATACTAGCCTATTTTGGGCTGTTTCAATCAATATGGAATCCAACTTTGGGGCCATTCCCCCCTTGTCCATGAGCTTCTACTAATACAAAAAGAAGTCATTTGCACAATGTTAGGGGCTGACCCTGCGGAGCACTGCAAACCACTTCATTTGAGTTTTTAGCATTTTATAACATAGCCTATACGTATTTGATACTCTCAGCAGCTGGAGTAGTGTGATTTTTTCTTTGATTATTGTGGCTTCACGTGACAGGTGGAGGTGGATGGCTATAACTTACAAGGTTACATGGTACACATTAAATTCATAATGATTTGCCTATTTCGGTAGACTGGCTTTTTCGTAGGCCTAAGCTTCATTGCTCTTTACAATTTCAAGAGATCTATTGTTCAAGGCGTCAATGGGCAACTAACCTAAGTTTATCGCCATTCTACCGCATTATAACCCACCCTACAGGGCCCGGATTTTGTAGGTAGCAAATGCGCAACTAACCTACCGCTAGGGCAACGGCCATCAAAACATTTTTATGTGTGATAATAAACCTTGTAGGTTAGTCTAAACTTAGTTGATACTACTAACAAAATAACTTAGCTATCTTAAAGACATCAAGTAATTAAGTAGGCCCATTTTATTGGTCGTTTAATAATCACTGATCACTATAGACTTCGTCTGAGACACATTAACTCACGGTATATAGGCTACTTGATCAATAGCGATATAGGCCTATTATCACAGTCACATTTTTATGCATAGCTTATCAAATAAATAGGCTCTATCACAGACGTTAAAATAAATAATAAGTATAGTTGTGCAGTTAAATAGATCAGGGGTAATAGTACTTGTTGTAATATGTAGTTATACTTCACCAAATCCATTTCAATGCATCAAGCAAAAGAGCTGTAACCCCATGATTAGCCTGGGCTAGTCTAATAATATTTTAAGACATTTTTATTTTATGATATTAAAAACATTAGGCTACACTAAGCTAATGAAATCTTCCCATAAACTTAGCCTACTCGGCTTTTAATTTTTGCATCGATTTTGACTGCCCTACCCGTCAATGAGGTTATGGGTATAAGTTAGGCCTAACCTATACAAAATCCTGCCTTAATCTGAATGGGAAAACATTATTATTTGCAGATGATACAACGATGCTGTCCAGAACCTTTAGTATTATTACAGTTGTTCGGCATTTGGATCATTGCCGGCCAATCTTAAAGGATCTTAAGCTACGTTTCCATTCCTGCAAATTTGTGCCGGCACAAATCTCCAAATTTGTAGGAATGGAAACATCCTGGCTCAAGTCACGGCGCAAATCTCTCATCAATTGATTAAATGCACCTTCCAATGCTCTTTTAGCCAAAAAACTTCTTATCCTCTATCTAGGTAGTTTTCTTCTAAGTTCATTGTATGCACCAGCCATAAATAAAAAATCAGAGGCTGTTATGTCATCCATGGTGATTTGTAGAACACAATATAATCAAAATCATCCACCGAACCTCACCACATCACAATAAAAGAGAACACTGCCTTGTCTGCCAGTTGAAGTGGCGGGACTTGTGCCTGGAATGGAAACGGCATGACAAACTACGTGCGACATGTGCCTCAACTTGTGCCTGCGACTTGTAGGAATGGAAATGTAGCTATCCTCGTTCTACTATTAACTGCAACTCATAACTGCCTACTCATTTGCAGGAGATGGATGCACCCTCCTTCAGAAGGCGCTGAAAGGAATACTAATTATAGGCCGCTGTATAGGCGTATGCTCATTCTTCCCGTATTGGGGGCCTAAGACATTGAAAAAGGCTGTGCTGGTAAAAGCGACCAGAATACACACTAAGACCGAAGACCCTAGTTGTTGCCGCACATAAAAATTATACTGGATGTATAGCAGGTATGGAGACAAAAATCATGGATGCTCAAACAGTGTCTTGCACAGCAGATCATTTTGAGAATGCCAGAGGTCTTGGCACAGATGTGCTGAATGTCTGGCCCAAAGACCAAACCCACATGGCGAGTCAAATCTGGGTAATAGTCAATATCCAGAGAATTTTGTTAATGCCAACAATTTTTAACTTATTCTTGGTGGAATCAACCATTATCTTTGGTCAAGTCTTAGCTAAGACATCATTAAGAGACTGAGACGGTGGTGTCATCCTGTAATTCAGCTACTAGGAGGTCAGGAGTTGTGGAATATTTATAGGCATGTACTGTGGATGTGATACTTCGTGGTTTGAATTAACGCCCTTACTGCGACTATCCGCATAATACTATCCTGATAATTAGACCAATTTTTTTATACCAAGGAAAAATGTGGTTCGGATTCTACTATAAACTGTAGGTCCCTATAGTTATCCATTAGCCCAAAGTATGGGCTATTAATTGACAGCTGTGTCTAAGGAATATGTCGGCCTTAGTCACTAACAAGGATACAAAATCGTGCCACTCATCCATCCTACACTCATCTCCATGCATACTGGTACTTGGCTTAAAATACCTGCTTTGTATGGTTGCCATTTCAAATTAAAGTATTAAGCCTAAGGCAAAATGACTCATAATCATAGAGGGAAGCAACTTTCCTCAAACAGATTTATATCGTCAGCGAACTAAGGGATCTTGATAACTCTCTTGATGTCTTTAAAGAATATGTACAACTAAAAATATCTGTAAATTTCTTTTGATGTTTTCATGATAAATATGCAATGCAATACAACAAAGTAACTTTTGAACATTAAAAATAGCTGTTAACAACAAATTTTTCGATAAAACTCTTTACAAAAATCTGAAGGGCAGGTCCAGAATTGATGGCCTCTCAAGTCCGTAAATTGCATCTGTGATGTTGTTTAGTAAGTTCAACGCTAAATGATTATCAGTTAACTTAACTTATCCAATCAATAGTGTTAACAATACTCAATGTTAATACTTATGAAGTCAAACGGAACGGGGTGAAGCCCGTGGATATAACAGCTAGCTGTCTAGTTGATATAAAACACGTTTTTGAAAATAATTCGATTGATGCTTTAAATGCAAATGTTAGGCATTTATTTTATGAGTTATTTAATTTTTCATACAACAGATCTATGGAACATAACAATAAATTATTCTCTTTAGCGCTCCTTTGGCGAAGCACGGGTATGGCGGCTAAATATAGTACGCTCTATTTCGCAACGGGTACACAAGTTCAGAATACATTTAATTGTTTGATGTAATAATTAAGTCAATAGCCCAAAAGTAAACACATCCGATTTATTGTGCATCCTATGTTCAATTGTGTTTTGGATTTTGTCACATAACCTGAAAACCAGTTAAACGGTTACATGGAAATTGTGGGAAATTTCGCTCTACAAGTGCCTGCTGCATCCCTGCATTTATCCCACTGAGCTAGATTTATCCAACAGTGTTGTCATATTGAGGGAGTAACACTAAATTCAGGGGCGTAATCTCGCTGAATAAAATTAAAAGTCTGCAGCAACACCTATTTCAAATTTTAAAGACAGCTTTGTCTGGAGCTCCGTTTTTATATATTCTACTACTGTATTTAACTTATGGATTTTATTTTGTTCCTTTCATATGTGTTATATTTAGCTAATAATCTTAACATATAAAAGTAAAAGCCCTCACTCAATGATTCATTACTAATCCAACTTCCAGACTAGCTAGAACGTTGAAATTTGGTGTACTGATTATTCAGGCTTTAAATAGGAAAACTAAGTAGTTTTTATCCTGATCTGACTTTTGGGTTCCACCTAAGTGGTTCTGGAGTTTTCT